TTTCATAACAGCTGTAAACTATTTGAATTTCCATCATTATCATCATCATCGTCGTCGTCGTCATCATCGTCATCGTTATCTCCGTCGTCGTCGTCATCATCATCATCTTCATTATTATCATCATCATCATATTCATCATCATATTCATCATCAATTCATCTTCATTATCATATTCATGATCATCATCATTATCATCATCATTATAATAATAAAAATAATAACAATAATAATAATAATAATAATATTCCGTTTTAAATGCCCTAGTTGATCTATGTATGAATTCCATATTTCAGGCCTATGTACCTCGGTGGAGTTACGTTAATTAATAACAAAAGCTTATAAACACACAGTCTCAAATATAAACGAACGAACATGATTATATTCAAACAGGCAACAGTTGTCAACCTTTTTTTGCATTTTTTTTATTTTGAACAGAATCAAATGGGAGTTATTAGAGATGCGAAGTTATAATAAGTCCACTTTGCTTGTGCCTTATTTCTCATAATTTGCTATGTAACCGCATATACCATCACTAGTAAAAACAAATATACCCACTTATCTATGTATCATTTAGTTACAATTTCATTTTCTTTGCCAAGAAATTTGAAAGCAGTACCTGTTTTCCAGATGCTACCTACAATTACAGCCCATTCAACATCAGTATTTCATCATTCGGCAACCTTGTGTACGGAATCATTGGGGTAAAATGCAAACTTTGGAATTTCGTTGCTATATTCTGTTTTGTTTATCAATTTTTGGGCGTATAATTCTTGATTAATACTAAAAAGATTTTATGAGCAATATCCAACCCTCTGTAAACCTAGTTACCCCTGTTAGAATTCATCGTAGGAGTACATTTTTAACAAGAAATCCAGAAAAATAAAATAAGTTCAAGTACACTGGACCACATAGGGAAATAGAGATCAGTGTTCTTGTCTGTAATATCAACGGAGATTACGTGATTAGTTTTTGGATATAAACATTTAAGATAAATGAACGAGGTTAGCTTTTTACTACGCAAAATGCATTTCCCCATTTCGCCCCGAAGTTTTACGGCAATACAGAAGAAAAATAATATCAAAATGAAAGGAATACCGGTGTATACTATTTTCCGACATTCATATCTATAAGTTTCACATGCAAGTATATTCCATAAAATTTGAATTTTGGATTTGAATTTTAATATATTCGTACATACAGGTTAAATAAATTTTGACTGAAAAAAAAAACAAACAACAAAAAACAAAACCGTTAACATATTGAAAAGACTTTGCATGTTGTCTTTATTCCACATGACCTGTAGTGGAATCAGTTTTCAGCATTTCTTTGAATTACTAAAATTCTACTATTCACTTTTCATTCCATCTTTTAACATCAAAGAAAACATGTACGACAATTTTCTAGAATTATAGGACCTTCTAAAATAACAACACACCACGAAATAATTATCTATGGAAGATGCTGGCACGTATGAGATACATGATCCTGTATTAAATTTATTTGTATAGCAAATAATCATGAACAAAATATTGTTATTCATATAAATGCTCATACTATAATCACTTAGAACTTTATCAACATTTTTTTCAAGCAATATTTCATCTCATTTTAATATCCAAATGATACATTTCTATATTTATCAATTTTTTTAAAAATATTTATGGAAATATACCCATTGTATATAGACCAATCCTCTTTCACTGGTGCTATATGAAGATTACCAAAGATTACACTAAAATTGCGATCAAGATGTTTTTTAAAATTCTAGATATATACATGTACATCAAAATTCATATACCTATTAGTCTAGCCAGGGGCAATGGGCAGATAATATCAGGTAATATGTTTTATTCAAGGATGAGTGCATATGATTATCAGATAAGATCAGAGCGTTTCCATTCATATGTCAAGTTCAGCGAAATATCAAAAAACATCAACCTTATCTGGTGCACCATTTCCCTCAAAAACATGAAAATAATTTCCATTAATATCTTATAAAACAGGAGGTTTCCTTCAACTTGTCTCACTAAATAGATTCTGGAGGTTTATAAGAAACATTGAAATTTTTTATTCGTAATTAACAGCTTTTTTACGTTTTTACTTCCCTATAGACACAGCCATTCCGTATCAAGGCCATTTTGTTTCATCTAATGTACATTTTCAATTTATCTTTTGGTGCAGCAGCCAATAAAAGATGCAGTTTCTAAATGTATATGTGATTTGGCAACGTACAGGTATTTATTAATCATAAGAAAAGATTCGATTGTTTCTCCCCATGTAATATTACTGAAAGTAATAAAATATATCATAGATATTTTGATTGCTTAGCACTACGGTATACTAAGTAGTTCCCCCATCATTATGATCATGATTTTCGAAGTTTAATATCATGCTTTCCCAATACAGTTAAGTTAAGGAACGACCCCATTTTCTCTCCCCTCCACCCCCCATGCTAATATTGACATTGTATATAAATGTAAATGTAATTGTTATGAGTTATAGGTGAATTAATAATAATAATAATAATAATAATAAAAGCATCAATCAAAGCCCACCTATTACCAACCTAATTAATACCTGCAGTGCTTTTGTGTTTCTCTGAGACTATGCCTGTTTCTTCAGTGACAAATTATATGTATATATATCGGACGTAGGTTATAACCTACAAATATACGAGTATTTTCTTACACTTTACATAAACGATGCTTACAAATCTTTAAAAAACATATTACGTAACCATGACAACTGAAGTACCAATGTATTTCCTAGACTACTATAAATAAATGATGTAAAATAAAGATTTTATAAATGTCTTTAAATACCCTAGTCATTATTTTCGACACAAGGTGCAATGCTACTTCTGACCAGGCTCTTAATTGTTGGTTGCCAAACTTTGAATTTTTATTTTTGAATCTTCAAAAGTGACAATGCGATAATCTATAAAGACTTGATGCAAATCTAGACGCACGTGCGTAGCAGAAACAAACAGTTAAACAGTTAAACGCAGAAACAATTTCAGGTACGGGTCTGATCTGATTATTTCCGGAAAAGAGTGCATGATTGTATGCCTGGATCAGATAATTAACGTTATCAATGTTATTTCCGTCTATCATTTTGTTTATATAACATTTATCGTGTGCAACAATCACCAGCAAAAGGTGTAACAATAACAACAGCTACAGCATTAACAGGTATACCGACATCAAATAATCTCCGTAGGATGCGAAAAAATATTGTTTTTGAAATATTAAGAGAAAAAAATATTGGATCTCAAAGATATAACACATTTGCATACAAAAACTTATTCAGACTTTTACATCATTAACATGGCATCTTCCTCTTCACACTACAAAAAATACAAAATATCTTACCACGAGCAGTTAAGACAAAAAAGCCATTCCTTATCCATTTCTTAATGAGGACTAGAATTTCTTAATATTTTATAATTATTTTATTCGGTTTGTATTAAGGATTTTTTCAGTATACCAGTATTATTACAGTATATATTATACGCATCTTTACTCGAACCGTGCAATATCAGTTAACCCTCAGCTTGCTGTTGGCAACTGATTTTACGCAGACCAAGAGCAGCCGACAGGACCATGATATCTGATCATAGCTAGTCTGCACTGTTCGCTATTTAGTCAGTACATATTTTGAACATTTCAGCTAAAAGTGATGATTTTGTCCAGATTGAAAGATTATCATTTAAGATATTTTACAGAATAACAATTATACATTTCCTACAGACTACCAGTATGAACACATTCGAACACATTCGAGCTAGGCTGTCCTGTTTGCGTTTTAAGATAGAAATGTACAGAGAAAATGTATATAGTGTGTGTTTACTGGTGCTTGTGATATCGATTTGTTTATAATTCTTTGTACATGTATATGTATTAATAAAAAGTTAACAAAAATATCGAATATATAATTAATGTGTTCTCGATGCTATTACATTTGTATATTCAACTTTATCGATTTGAATCGCCTTTTCAATAGAATCAACACTGTAATTCAAAACAAATAGAAACACTGTTTTAAAACGCTACAATTCATTCAACACTTACACTATTGCACTAAAAATCTTATAACTCTATTCTACTATCTCTAAACAAATCACTACATTCTTTGTAGTTATTCAAAGCGAATAATTACACTTTTTGCAAACACTACACTCAGTGTAGTGATTCGAAAACATTTGTTTTTACTGCCTCACTCTTATGTCGCCTAAAATAGCACTGAAACAGTATACTGTTCCAATTATCTTCACTTATACTGTACACACATTTGTTAATGTAATATAGATTTGATTTTATTAATAAATGGTTTATGCAGTACCATATGTAGGGGTACCGCTGGTCAAACTTTACTTATGGAGGAAGACCAAAGGTGCCCATCTGTTCATTCTTTTAGACAAAAACCGGGGCACATGGCGTGAAAGAATTCGAAGTTTTCAGCGGGTTTCAAACCCACAGCGGGAAGGGACTGACTATATATATGAAACGAATAGAATATGAACTTGAAACTCTAAACATGTAAAATACGATTGCTTGATACATTCGCAACGCGATTTGACTACAGTATAGATAAACATTTGCTCTATTTTGAAATATAAATATAAAACTAAATCACGTTTTGTTAGTGGTTTAACAGGTTTTTATGGTGTTTGATCTAATCGTTTATTGTTTTTTTATCTCGATTTCTTGTTGTTATAAGAAACAAACAAAAGTACAAGTAAATAAGAATGGTTCCTGCGCACTCATTTTATTTTTATCTAACACATTATGTAATGAGACGGTTCAACCACTAGTACTAAATAATGTTGGTCCGTTCGATTCAGTTCTATATAAAATTTATAAATTTTGTCTGTTCTTAGTTACCCGGAGTATATGGCAAAGCCTTTGTAAAGAACATACTTATACTTTTGATGCCTTGTAACATGTATTGAATATACGTTCATAATATAAAGAATGTTATAAAACAGCAACATAACCTACCTGTTTTGTGTAATCCAGAAACTGATGTTTTAAACTTAGAATTAAGCTACTTTCTTAAATGAAAATAGTAAAACAAGTGTCCATTTTCCAACTTAAATCTCTCTTAGAGCATGAAAATAATAAGTTTATGCTTCTTTTCAAAAATATTATTTTTTCTCAGAAATATTTCATCATAAATTTCCAAGAAATGTCAAAATATTTTACAAATATTCCGCAGAATCGTTATAGTCTGTTTAGTGTTACCCCAAAGACTACCTGACATCAATACATTCACCGGTTGTATCTTTGTTCGGCTTCTTATCATTCAGGAATTCCAGGTATGCTTCATCGTTGTCTGGTTCCCATTCGGGGAGAAATAACAGCAAATTTTTGTAAGTAGTCTCACCTGTGAAATATGTGGGAACCAGCATAATGGGTTGAAAAAAGCTAGACACGATTTTCAAGATTCTTCAGATAGGAATGTCTCGAGCTAGTGAAAACCAGTAAAATTTAACAAGCATAGAAAATAACACTGACGTCATTAAATTTACAAACAAAAATGCAAAGCTTAGATGAATAATTTTGCTGAATCCCATGTAAAAATATCTGAGATTTCATATTAACTCTTTGATAGACTTTAATCAAGGACCATATTGAAAACAAATCTACCCCGTGCAATTTTGACAAATATTGAAAAGTATGCTAGTAACAGTAATTTCATTTACCTTGGATTACTTTCTATATAATCTTTATATAGATCTACTAGTACTTCATCCTAACTAAACTTCAGTGCGTTAAAAGTAGGTAGGTATTCAGGGACATGCCATCAAATCATGTCTATAAAATAACACTTGATTTAATTACCCGTTTCTATTTCAAAGGTAATAAACGAATCTGCCAATTTGCTGTCAGTATCATTTTATATCCCTATTTCCAGACGGGCTGGGTATATATATATGTATAGAAACTTATACAATTGCTTGCTAAATTATTTGAAAAAAGAAGAGTGCAAATACATAACCGTGTAAAAATATTTAAATTAAAATTGGTTATTGAGCAAAAGATATAAATCTATTACTATGTCAGCATAAACCCAGTAGCAATGCTAGTATTCTTAATAGAAAAAATGCAGTTTCAGTAGTTTCTCGATTTGTTCTTTTTCTCCTGACATGATGTACTTTTTCATTTTTTTGTTTTTACAAAAAGTGATCAATTCATGTTTTATTAAATGACACACGTACATTGTAAAATTATGGATCATTTCTAAACTAACTACTTACTTCTAACTTCTAACTTAAAGCGACACCAGGGGTCAAAACCAGCTGACCTGCTAGAGTTTAGGGATACATAGACTCCAATTATTCAAACTCATCTAGTCGCCTTTTACGATCAATCACGGATAAACGGTAGCTGCAATCCTGATTCCTCAACCCTAATAGTCAACCCCTCAATCACAAGGAGTGACTGATGTGTAATCAGGTAGGCCTAAAATTGAATAAGACTGCATGAAGTTTGACTTTGTTCAGGTTGATGAAGTCCATGTTTACAACTATCAAGTATTTGTCCACTAAACCGTTTTCTCTTCAGGTCACACAAATCTAAAACCATTGACGACTTAAAAAGCAATTTCAAAAGGTGCATAATACTTTAAATGATAATACATACAATGATCTTAGGTTATAACAATTATAATACATACACATCATTTCAGATAACTACATATAAACGAGCGTTATAGAAAAATCATTTCATATAAATACAAATAATATACCAACAAACGACTTATTGTATTTCCTAAAGAAAATTTAAATTTGTCGTTTCTTGATTTGTAGTCAAACAGTGCTTTTTTGCACCCCCAGAACATTAACGTATATCTGCCTTTCTCGATTATTAATGTATGTATATACCCTCTTTATCTGGCTGGATCGTTTCAGATTTCAAAGCTTAAATTAAGTTCCCAATATTGTATGGACATGTACGTACATAAATATAATGACAAGGCTTTTTGTTTATATTATTTCACATTACATGTCCCTCTCCTTTCGCCCTTGTGTCCACAGGTTTTTGTTTGGTGCCTTCTGGGTGTCCTACTTTGGTGTGTCCGGGGGCAGCGTCCTGTGAACGTTGCCTTTACCTTGTTGATCTTTATTCTTGTTATTTTTTGGTTCAATTCTTGATATCCGTTCTTTAGTGCACTGCTTTTTAACCGTTGAGAGAAATTCAAAACTTTAAAATTTAGATCAGTAGGTTAATTCAGCTTCCGAAACCCCTTGCACTTTGTTTGATTGAATAATAGTCAATTATTTATGTTTTTAATGGTCGACTGACTTCTTAAATGGTTAGGGTTGTAGTTTATGTAAAATTTTGTTCATCATGTTTTGATATAATTTTGATAAGGGCTTAGATGATTTACATTTCTTTTAAATTTAGTTATACCTTTATATAGAAAAGAGAAAAAATCAACAACAACAAAACATAAAATTAACAAAGCGACTAAACTGGGACAAAAATGTATCTTTCTGTCCTAGAACTAAAGTAAAATTGAAACATTTAAATGTGGAAATAAGTACACATATAATATAGAAATCAGTAATATATGCAGACATATAATCATGATCACGAAACTCCCAATATGTGACATTGTTGTGCATTTTATGAAAATCTATGAGTGGCACCCAAGAATATTTAAAGACCCGAAAGGAAAAAAATGGACAAAACCGAAAAGAAAAGGTCTTTGAGAGGGAATCGGAATTATAAAACCTGCAAACTCATACAATCGTCAAAAAGAAAACATAAAGACAATACAAGTAAAACGGTTTCCTGTGGTGAACATTTTAATGATATAATGATATTTCATTTAACTATTTTTAACATTTTTTTTGGGGGGGGGGGGAATAAATAAACGTTTGTATCAGGAATATAGTTGGCAATTGAATAAACGATCACTATAGACGAAGGTCTTTGGAAACTGGAGACCGTTGAAGACCAGAGAAGGTCGAACATAAAACAATTATTCCTTTTTAAGAAAAGCCTACCATTTTATGAATAATTCCGAGAGTAAACACACAAGTTCACGCAGAAAATAACGCAGAAAATAACTCTATTTATTATGGCAGATGCCACTACGAATATTTTAATTTTGTAGATTTTCAGTATAAACAATTTATTGTTTGTAAAATTTGAGATAGATATTAAAGAAACATTGATAATTTTCAAACACATCATTCATGTTTTTCCACCTTAAACGGTAAAATAATTATAGAAAATTAGAAATATCACGTAATAGTTTTTTGATCTTACTAATTCCCTACAGGTAAATCCGTAACGTACCGGCAAACGGTATTTAGCTAGGTTTTCGAAAAGGTCAATTAACCAATCATGTACGGTTTACATATCACATGCTCCTCCATGTACCAAAAACAGGTCACGTGTTCCTTCATGCCTCAAAAGTTAAACGCGTACCAATACCAGAGAAAATATCCAATATCAATTTAGGAGCACTGGAATAACCGGTAGAAACGGCGAAATAAAAAAGAAATAACACAGTAAACAAGAATTAAACAAAAAGTACAACAGACACAACAATAAGGTCGTTCCGAACGATTTCAAAAAAGAACATCTCTGACTGCATGCACTTAAAAACGTTTTAATGGATAGAAACAGATGTTGCACTGCAGATACAATAAAGTGTTCTTCACGATATTTGTGATTTTCAAATGCACTAACCATTGATATCATTGCTATTGTATTTATATAAAATTATATATTGACTGGAAACCATGGAACGAAAGACAGTCTATATCATTGTTTTTAGTACATTATTAAAATACTGATTCTATTTAGAACAATCAATTGCCAATCGGTTCTCAACCAAATTAATCGCCATTCATCTTGGTTTTATAGAAAAAAAAATCCAAAAAAATCGTAGAACTTATAAAACAGAGCCTGCAACATTTTTGTTACATTTTCGTTCTTTAGGGAATCCACATTTTCTTATTCAAAACAAAATAAAGAAGGGTATATATGATTTTTGTATTTGAATAGACAAAAGAGGAAATGCTGAAGGACAAATACGACAAAATGTTGGAGGGTCGGCTGAATTGAATCTTTCATTGACAACTGTTATAAATGCAAGCCACTATCGTCAGCCAATGCGGAATTCAATATTTTAATAAGAAAATAAAATGTGTTTAGAATTGTATATCGTCAATAGAATTGTTCATACAGCAAGTTTAAAGAACGTGACACTTCCGTGCAATCATGTAAAAAGGCATCTATCAACTAAATAATAAATTTTAATTCTAAATCGACAACTAGTAAGAGTTTGTATATAGCTTATTACAGTCAAGTGTCTTATAATGAGACTCAAATGGATATTAATCCTTTTTTATTCTGCCAGTTTGGTGACTAGCTTTCATACAACGATGAGTTCCTTTGTTCATCTATACTAAAATAAAACAATTTCATGATCTCTTATAGAAATGATCTCAGTGTCAAGAGAGACAAGCTTATATTAAATCTGTTCAGGTTTTTATAGCCTCATTCAGTTGTATATTTCCTGTAAACTTTCATACCATATCATATTTGAAATTTTAAAATATGTTCAAAAGAGTTCTAGGGTTTGTTGACGGCACCTTGCTGTCCACGAACTGTTTCAAGCAAGAGCCTGCAACATTGTTGTTTGGCAAACCTTTAACCTTTTACTATCTTAAAATAATGATGTAGACCTTTTATATAGGCGGTAAGCAGAATAGACGTTTATTATGTTTTGATGTACTGCAAAAAAAAATTTACATGGTGACTAAAATAATTCATGTGTTTCCTGTCTTTTGTAGTAAGTCGTATCTAAATAAAGAAAGAACTAATAGCAATGACGACGGACACGAAGATCGAGCTTATTATCAATGTTTACAGTTTCAACATGAATCATTCATTTGTATATATCCTGTAAACAATCTCCATAAAAAGAAGAAAAAAGAGAGAACTCTTTGACCTCTTTCTAAGTATTGTTTGCTCCGTTGAAGGTTCATGACCACAATTCTGGTATTTGTTTAGTGACCATATTCTATAGAATTTTGAAGTAAGTTCTAGACAGTGCCAGGGATTGATGCGGCAGCTGACATTTACCACTGCAGTCCATGAACAGTCTCAAGCAAGAGCCTGCAACATTGTCAAATTTGTCGTTTTGAAAAACCATTAACGTTTCCATATTTTACTGTCTTAAATTAATGATGTAGACCTTTCATATTGCTGGTAGCCAGTATAGTCATAGCGTTGCCAGGATTACCTATAACCTATATTCATATAT